CAAGGAGAAGGATTAAACCCCCTCGGGGACACGGGGCTCTTGCCCTGCCCGGAGCTCAGGGCTTGAACATCATTTATTTTGGGGTTGGACGGTTTCCGTCCGGTTTCTCAGCATGGAAAGCATCTCCAGCACGCCCCAAAACGCTCGTTCAGTGGCCACGGAGCGACGGATGCCCCAAGACAGGCACCCCGCTGCCCATCCTCAGCGTCACCACACCATCGTGGCCGTCGTGACTCACCTGACTCGTCCAACCTTCTCCTCCGATGGGCTGGAGCTCGTCAGGCTCGGCTCATTCAGGGGCCGCTCCTCCTTTACGGGTTTCTTACGGGCTTTGGTCTGGCTTTGTCGCCGCTGTGGCTCAGAGTCGCTGGGGGAGAAGACGGACGTGGGATAGGCAAGACGGTTTAGATGGTTGGATGTGGTAGGACGTGGTAAGACATTGTTTGGACGTGGTTGGGCATGGCAGAACATCGTTTGGATGTGGTTGGACACGGCAAAGCCCCTCACCCAGGCAGAGATACAGTGAAAGAAGGTGCCTTCCCAAAAGGCTGTACCCTTTTGAGCTCAGAAGCACCTTATTTAGGTGCTACAAGGCCATTACTCCCATCTCCTCCCATCTCTGCTAGGGTCAGCTGTAGCAAGACGAGAGGGTGGCAGGGACGTAAGGTCTGAAACCCTGCCAGTGTGACAGCCGTCTGGACTGGGACAGCGTGACTGGAAGCCTGGGGACTGGCTCTCACGTGGTCCCAGTCCACAGGCTCCTTCCCAGCAGCTCTAAGCACGCTTCACCTGTCCAGAGATGGGTGGTAGTTCTCATCACGCACGTCATCGATGTAGGCGAGGTCATCATCCTCGGCAAAGTCCTCGTCCTCCTCTTCCTCCTCTTCTTCTTGGGGCTCAGCCCCCTGCTCCGCCTTCTCCTCTGGGATGGGCGCGCTGCAGGAACACAACGGTCAAAGTCAACTCTACCGCAACGGGTTTTATTATGGAAGGTCTTCGTTAAAACGTTGGCTGCCCGTTGGGGAACTCAAGGGATGAGATGGATGGGTCCAAACTCGACCTTCAGCTCCGGACAGCCCAGTTATACCCTGGGGGAAGACTCGCGCATGCCACCACTCACCTCCTGTGATCTTTTGCCACGGTCCCCGTCTCTGTCGGCACTTGGGGAGCTGCAAGGAGATGACAGGAGTTGCGGTAAGTTGAAGTGGGGCTGGTTGAGCCGGGATGTTGGGAGAGGCAGAGGAGGGAGGAGGAGGATGGGGAGCGGATCTGGCAGCAGGGTTGGGGAGCCTGCAGGCGTTGGAACGGACCTGCATGGTGCCATCCCGCTGACCAAGAGAAATGAGGGCCAAGATACTCCAAAATACTCTACTGGAAGAAGCTCAACCGCTTCTCAAGTAGCTACTACAGGGAAAAAAAAGATTTCTGCCCCCGGTTTTCAGTCTGGATAAGCGACAAGAGCTGTGGCTCTTGGAAACTGCCGAGAGCTGCATCTGCGTGGGCTCAGCGAGGTCTTCTGCTCAACACCCGTAATGAACCTGAGGTCCCCCAGCTCTGCTTTTCCGGGGAAGGAAAGGGGGGAGAAGATACGGGCTTGTTTTGTGGTAGGAACCAGCCCGGTGGGAGAGTCCTCTACCTGTTTTTCCAGCAAAGGCCCAGAAATTTGTTTGACACGATGGTGCTATCAAATCTGGAGCAAGAGGGAGGCGACGGGGTTGGGGCAACAACCTGATCCCCCTGGGAAGGTGGTCGATGTGCCCCTGGGACTGGGAGAAGGGCTGAAGATGGGGAATCAAGAAACCAATGAGGAAAGGAGGGTGGAGAAGGGGACACAGAGGAGCTCACCCGCGTTGCCGTCATCGCCGTCATCACTACCAGCTCCCGGCTCTTCCCTCCGGTCCCCATCACCGACGAGTGACCGAGCTGCTCCCTCCGGTTCGGCTTCGCCCTTCCCGGAGCCG